GGTCAGATGGCTGGCTGGAGCCGTTCACAGCCAATACTGCTGCCATAACATGATAAATTACTCTGTTGGTGTCTCCCTCTCGTTCTCCTTCACACACACACACACAGACACACACACGCTGCTATTTTCTGCTGTCTTAAACATCAGCTGCATGTGTAATATAAAGTACCTCATTTGTTTGTATCTCCTGTCAACAGACAGTTTATTTCACTTTAAGTTGTTTTGCTTTATTTTTCAGGTTAAATAAATAAATACATTTGTGACTGTGTGACTGTCAGCGCTACGTTATGACTTGGTTGATAAGGAGTCTCACAAATTGAACTCAAAAGTACTTTGATATCAGAAAAACAAAAACAAAAACATAACACAGAGCTATCACTATTATAATGGCTCTATATGAATGTCAAAATAAAGTAAAATATGTAGACATTATTATCTTTGGGATTCAACTATGCAGCTGCACCAGGCACGTGCAGGGGGGGGGGCTTGGGCACCTGCCCCTTTTATGTGTGTGCGCGTGTGGAGTCCTGCCTGCACCCCGCAACAGTAACATTTAACTACAAATCACAATTTTGCTAAATAAAAGGATCTGGCTTGCACATGACTACCATTAACCGATGCTCGCCCTTGACGGCAGAGCGTGCTGGTTACGAGCTGGGAACGAGCACCCGGATTTTTTGCCACCCGGAGCGGTGCGGAGCTGTGGGGGAAACACAAATTCATTGGGAAACCAGTAAATAGGGTGTACAGCTCACACCATAGTCTATAGCACACGGGAGTGTTAGGTTTTTACGTACACGTTGTTAAGATGTCTTGTGGCAACTGACGAATTGAAACAAATGAGCGTGCTGTGTGTGCAACAGCGCGATAAAACATTACCTGTCCTTTTATTAACTGCAGAAGTAGTGGTGTCATTAGCTGCTAGCTAACTGGGTAAGGGTGTCATGGATCTGTAGCTCTGTCCACCTTTTAGGGAACATATTTAGTTTTAAAGTAAGTTACCGGGCTTTTCTCCGCCTTTCTGGAGGGCTTATATTTCATTAAAAACGATCTAATATGCACATAATTATAGATGATTATAATTATGATATTTAAAAAACACACTGTTTTAAGGAAGTTACATTAAGAAACAGATATATTAGATTAATATTTCAAATATGACAAAATACTGATTTTACAGCAGCAGAATTATTGTATCTCTACAGTTTAAATATTTAATAAGCTTTCTGCCTGCACAGAGTGGATAGTGAAACAAAATCCTCACAAATACATTATTTTATATTTATTCCTTTATTTTTTATTCTTATTATTTTATTATTATAGTACTAGGAATAAATAATAAGGGAAGGATTCTGGATCAGCAACATGATGAAAACTTGTGGCCATAGTATACACAGTATTCTGGAGAAAGTCTAAAATGTCACTGTATGTGTATGTGCATGTGTGTGTTTTATGTGTATAGATTTTTTTTTTAGATTATTCCTCATGATATAAGATTGTCCAGACATGCCCTGTAAGGACAGGAGCAGGAAACAGTGACAGAATGAGCTGTGTGAGGCTGATAAAAGCAGTGGATCCTTCAGCAGCTGGATTACAAAGAGCACCGGAAACTTTAACACATGTACCAGTTGTTGCATTGCAGAGATGCTCAAGTATAAAAACAATAACAAACACAATTGTTTTGGTTCTAAAACATTTTTCTATCATTACTTTATTATGGATTAGGTGTTGTTAAGTGTGGAAAATTAAATAATAGATTAATGCAACAGCAAATTGTGCCTTGTTCTCTGATGGACAGGAAGTGGAGAGATAGATGAGATGAGGAGATGGAAGGAGGAAGAGGCAAAGAGTGACTCACAGGCAGAGCATTTCCCACAGTTTTTTTTAATTTGTTGCTTTATGGTTCCATGTGCTGTCACCAATCTTTGGATTTTATTATTGTCTCATAACACTTGTT